TCCTTATCCGTCTTCTCATCCACTCGCAGGGATGTCTCTCGTTCGATGAGGACTTGATCCCCAACCGAATATTGTGGTGTCGGCGTCCGTAATCTCCTATCGAAATCGCGTTTATATCGGTCCTAACCAGTGAGTACCGTGTCGCGGGCTGTTGAAATGAGCCCGCGTAACCACGTGAAGAAACGGAGCTTGTACTGCGTCCGCGAGACATCCTAGTCACTTTGATGCAGTAGCCAGCAAATAGCCTGGACCAGACTATTTTGGAATCAAGACTATTAAAGTATGTGTATCGCGACTAAATACAGTGATTATGTGTAGAATATCTTTTTCCTTCTTGATGAACAAGCAAAAGTAATAAAAAAAGGTTGAAATGTGGTGCAGGAACGATACCCTTCGTTTACTCTCTGATCCGGCTACCTCTACACTAAGTACGGCGGCCGCTTGCCGTTGTAGGTGACACGATATCCGTGTGTGATGTGTACTACGTGTGTACGTGTATAGGTATTATTACAAGTGGATGGGAGCGCCGCTTGGACTGCGTTGTTATAAGTATTATCACACTCCCCCCTTCGCCGTGGCGCGATGCCTCTTTGTGCTCTGTGCGTTGGGCGGGGGTGGGGCTGCAAACATTGAGTTGTTCGCGCAGTTTGACAAATGCTGCGGGTGTCAGAGGCTTGGTAAAGAGGTCGGCGAGCATTTATGTTGTTGGTACATGTTTGATGTCAATCGCCTTCTTTTTTGTTTGGTGGGCAAGGTAATGGTGGCGTAGGTCTATGAACTTTCTGCGCTTCGCTGGGCCGTTGTTCTTAGCAACCCTTATTGCTGATTGGTTGTCGATTCGGAACGGGGTGGGCTCCAGTGGGAGCATGTCGATGTCTTGAAGGAGACGTCGAATCCATGTGGTTTGCTGGGCAGCTGCAATGGCAGCTATGTATTCAGCTTCACATGTGGATAATGCTGTTATCGCTTGTTTCATCGAGCCCCAGCATATGGGCGTTCCATTGTACACATGTACGATTCCGGATATGGATTTGCGGTTGGTTACATCTGCTGCGAAGTGAGAATCACTGTAGGTCTCCAGGAGGTTGGGTATTTTTTGGATGCTTGCTCTGTTGTTGCCTGCTTTGTACAGCAGGCCATGTGTCGGCGTGTGTTGAGGTATCGAATGAGGCGCCTTAACGCGATCCAATGCCTCGTTGCGGGTGATTTGGCTGCCATCGATAATCTGTTCGCTAAGAAGTAGATGTCCGGTCTGGTGGAGTCCGCGATGTAGCGGATATCCCCGAGAAGTCGCTGGTAGATTTTTGTGATTTTTGGCATTGGTTCGTCTGCCTCTGTTGGTCCATGAAGTGTCGTTTTGGTGTTGTAAGCGGTTGGTTTTCCGTTCGACATATCCATTTCCGTCTTTCTGACCACATATTGTATACCATTGAGTTGGGATGCGTGTATATCTCCGTTGGCGCATTTTTTATCGTCCATCCGAGGAGTTGCCCGGGTTCCCCAAGCTGTTTGATCCTTGTACGTC